TTATACAGAGTACAGAAAATTAAATGGGGTTACTTGCAAGCATGTGCATTGGGCGCTGTGAACTGTGACAAAGTCAATCTTATTTCCCCAAGCTGGAGCTGGGTGTTCACTACAAGCAGCAAATTCAAACCTGGGGAAGAAGAAACCCTGTGTTTGCCCTGCGGACGGGGCCTGTGGCTCTTCCAGCTGCTCTCCTTCCCTTGGCAAAGGCACCGAGAGCCCAGAGGCTTCGTTTTTGCTCATGGCTACATCCAGCTGCTGGCCCTGCGAGGGCTTTGCAGGAGACCCAAACCGTTTCCAAGTGGGCTGTGCTAGGCTGCTGGCGTGATGTTGAGCTCAAAGGCAGCCCAAATATGAGTGCGCAACCTCTAGTCACGTCTTCCAACCCAAAATACCTGCTGCAGGCTCTTGATCTGTGCACCGACGTGGGGACTGGGGTGCCTTTTCTCCCCAAACCTTACGTTCCAAGGCAGCGGGAAGGTGCAGGACGAGAACTCAGCGATGAGGATCCCTTCCCTGCTCCCCAGAATAAATCTCCGGGTGGTTTTGGAGCTGCAGAGCCCCTTGCCAGCTCTTAGTCTTGCTTTGGGGGGGGGTCAGTCTCCTGCAGCCGCGGGTGCCGGTTACTCCGGCAAAACTCCCTGAGCTGCCGATGGGAGTTTTCCCAACTAGTGTCTGCCCAGGAGAGTCGGCCTTACCTCCACGGTGGGCTGAGATCAATACCTGGGAAAATTCCTCCTCCCCCAGCTCTGACGGGCAGCGGAGGAGTGCTGAGCTGGCTGCCTGGAAATGGCTGCTGCCCGCAGGCTGTCAGCTCAGGAGATCCACGCGAAACCCTGCAATTCCCTTTTTTTCATGCTGCTGTAGCTATTTCACTTTTCTTCTGAAGGCATGTTTCTTCCCCAAACGTGCTGTCATTAGGGAGCCGAGGGGTAGGTGGATACGGCGGTGACCAGCGCGGTGGCCAGGCTCTGCTGCCAGTCTTTCATGGCAATCGCTCCATCAGCAGTAGAGCCAGCATCCCAATTTGGCACCAAATACTAAAGTCGTGGACTAGAAGAGGCTGTGATGGGTCAGAGCCTTTTGCACTACTGAGAACTGGGATCATTTATTTTGCATAGATCCTGTTTTTCCTCCCAGTTGAGAAACTAGAAAAATTTTAAATAAGATTTTACCGCTAAGAAGGAGCTGATGGTTGATATAAGTGAAGCAGGAAGGTCTAATCCTACTGAGTGTGACCAAGGAAAGCTGCTTTAGCGCACGACTTTTGGTACTTGCTGGCAAAGCACCCAGTGGTGTGCAGGATGTCCCCAGTCACCACTGCGGCGGCGGGGAGAGGACGAAGGGTCCCGCGCACATGGGTTTCACTTTTTGCTTTACAATAAGAAGGAAGAGAAACTCCCCGAGAGCAGGCGTGGGCTTCTGCAGAGAAGCGAGTGCGGACCGTAACCTCCCCCCTGCCATGGCTTTTCCTTGGGGATGCCCTCTGCAAGGCTGAGCCTCCCTCGGGGCTGCGCAAGGATGGATTTGATTTAAAGAGGTAAAAATGAGCTCCTTCGGACTGAATTCTCTTAAGTTCCTGAGTGCTTCTCCTTTGGAGGATGAAATAAGAAAAGTAAAAGGCCGTGTGTACGCTCCACTGTGGTTTTACACGCTCACAGTCCGTGGTGGTACCCGCGTGCCCAGCGAGATGCCGTGCAGCACTGCTTCTCTGCAGCGAGGAGCTGCTGGATGGGGTCACAAAAAAAGGGAGGGAAAAAAAAAAAACCAAAAGGACAACCCAAGCAGCAAGGTTTGTTTGGGAGGAAGCGCCTGGCTCATGCAGCACGTCTGTTCCCAAGGGCTGCTTTAATGTCAGCGGGATGTTATCTCAGACATCAGAATGATTTTTTTTTTTTTCTTTTTTTTAATGCAACATTTCATGCTTTTCAAGCACAGGTGAGTTTAGGACCCAGAGACAGACTTAAAAAATTAAGAAACACTATGTTGTGAGACCAGCAGGGAAAAGGAAGCTGAATTTTCCCAGGATTGGCAGAGGGAAGGGCTGTGGGAAGGAAGCATGATGGGGCCAGGACATGGCACATGGAGGAGCGGGTCCTTTCCTGCCCAGCTATTCAGGCAGCATGCAAAAAAAAAAAAAAAAAAAAAGTTCCATCAGCCAAAAACCAAGCTCCAAAACTGTTTCCAAGCTGCTCAAAGCTCTGCGCCTGTCCCTTGCCCCAATGGCCGGTAAGCCACGGCAGCGCCCGGCTCTCCGTTAGGGGAGGATCTGCCGTGGGTGGTGAGCCTGGCAGCACCCCGTGGCATTTGCAGCCATTTATCACAGCTCTGCAGCCTTTATTTTTTTTCCCCCATGCTATGAGGCAGCATCCCTGCAGGCAGCAGCTAACGCTGGTGGACATTTGCCTGCCCCAGCGCATCCAACACCCCGCTGCGCTTTCCTTTAGCTTTTAGTCATTTGAATGTTTTCTCCAAATGAAGACTTTATTTCTTTTTTTTTTTCTTCTTCCCCAGGTGAGGGGCACTGGGCATGGGGGCTGCTTCAGGCACCCGATGGTCAGACACCGAATTCTGGTCCCTGAGGTGGAGCAGTGGCCGCTGTCATAACAGAAGCTGCTTATTACTGGCCCTGCTGAGCTCACCGCCCCCCGAAAGTGACCTTCTGACTGAGAGCCCTCTGAGTCTCTTTCGGGGAATTCGGCTCCAGGGTTACAATACTGATACTGGGAGTCCCGAGTGGAACCATGTAAATGCCCCATTAATGGAAGAAAAAACATAAAAAAAAAAAGCAAGGCAGAACAAAAATCCCAAATTCTCCCCAAGGATGGGGCTCCCAAAAATCCCGCTCTGTGAGGAGCACGTATTCCTCGTGGATACACAGAATTAGCTACAGCCAAGCGTGGCTGGAGGGCAGCAGGCTGGGTGTTGGGGAGAGCTCGTGGGACCCCCGGCCCCATCGCCCCGCGCGTATGCAGGGCGGGTAGGTGTTTTTGCTGACTGCATCAGGTATTTTTGGTGACTTCTAGTCTCAGGAGGTACTTTTTCCCGTTGCGCACAGCGAGCTGCGGGCAGCCTGCAGAAGGTTGGCATCCCGTGTGAGATAGTTTATGTTTGCTGGTGGGGACAAGGGGAGGAGGAGCCGAAAACCCACCCGGGAGGATACAGGACACTCAAAAAAGTGGGACCGATACCCAGAAAGGAGTAGGTGACAAAGGACATATTGCCCGTGATAGAGTGGCAGTGGCAGCTCAGAAACCACGCAACACCTTTCTCTTTTAAAAACGTCATTTAATCCATTAATTCCACAGCATTGCCATCATACACACCAGCATGACACCTCGGTATACGGGACACAGAGCCAAGGAGATGCAGTTACCCAGAAACACTTTTTTTTTTTTCTTAAAAACAAAAACCAAACAAAACAATCCCCTAAGACTGTAAGGGGGAAAACCAACGGTAGGTGACTGGAATAACTAGTTCTCTTCAGCAAGTTAAAGGCACTTAGCAAGGGAACGAAACTCCAGCCTGCCCAGGCTGCTTCACACCCCGGTGCCCCACAAGCCGGACCCCGGCGGGGCCGATGCCGGGGGCGGCTGGCGAGGGCAGGGGGTGCCCTGGAAGGACCCCGGGGGTTTTCTTGCTTTTTTTTTTTTTTTTTTCCAAGCTGGGAGCAAACTTTTTGTCTTTGGGGCTTTTGCTGTCCATGCTTTAAATCCAGTGGCAGGCACCTCCTCACCGATACCCGAACAGCCGGCCACTTCTGATGGAGGCACCGGCTCCGTGGGGACGCTTTTAGCCTCGGAGCACTGCAAACACAGCATTTCACCGAGCAGAAATATAAAACCCAGCAGGTCTCCCCACATGCACGCAACAGCATCAAGCCAACCAAGAGCTACAGTGAAACTAAGACCCCCTATATATATATATTTTTTTTTTTCTGCATAGATTAAAAAAAAAAAAAAGGCAAAATAAGAGGAGTTTATGTCGTCCCCGGTCTGCAGGCGAGGGCTCTCCAGCCTAACACATCCCAACATCTTTCTGAAAAGCCGGGGGCAGGCACAGCTCCCTGCTCAGGGACACTGCCCGGCAGGGACGTGGGACACGGGACTGTCCGCTGGAAACCCCCCGGAGCAACTCCTGGGAAAGGAAAAACAACCCTAAGTTAAACCAAACCCCCCTTGCCCAGCCCCACCAAACCCCGCCGAGGGCTGGCGCTTCCCTAACCTGCACTTTCTGCAAAAAGAGGGGAAAAAACCCGTCATTTTATAAAATACATTCTTGGCGGGGGATGAAATTTTAATGCAGCTCATGCTTTTCTGAAAACACCCTGAATAAGTCATTAGCCAGACTCTTCGCTAAGATGAATTTGCCCCCGAGGAAAAAAAGAATTAAAAGGTAAGAAGCTGGTGCGCCCCACATGCGTGTTTGCTGCTGGCTACAGCCAGGCAGCCTTAGGAAGGGGATGGCCGAGCTCCTTCAGCGTTAAATCAAATAAATGAGGGACGGAGACAGACTTATTAGTCTCCCAGTGTCCCTCCTCCTGTACGCGCGGAGGAGGACACATCCAGCACTCAGCTGATGAACACAGCTACTAACGGGGAGCGCAGCCCAAAGGCAGAGAGGTGAGTAATTACCATATATAATACATTTAATATGCTGCTTAGATTTTTAACATAGACTTTTTTTTATTTCTGACATTGGTGAGTCATTTAAATATTTAGCCCGGACAATAAAATATAAAAAAACCCCCCATCTACGGTATGTGCCTGCTGATTCTAAACAATAGTCACACTATTAGGGCCCAGTGAATGTTATTATAGAAGAATCTCTTAAGTCCGTGTCATACATACATTATGAACTTACAAATAAATAACTCTACAAAAATCCTGTCGTCTCTCCATAGTTTCATGTGATCGGCAAAAAGAAAAGGCTCTTTCTGGTGATGACAAACTCGGAATTGCACATTTAGTTCGAGGAATACATTACTGGTGCATCACCAAAGTCAACCACTAGGCAACAAAAAGACGTATCATATGAAACAATTTTTTTAATTTTTATTTTACATATTTATACATAAAACTTTCAAGGTAACTCTCTGAATCCAACCGAATGTTAATAGCACATCTAAAAATGAATGTCAGGTAGTCAACATTCACAAAATGTTGAAAACTGATTAAAATATACATATTACTGAAAGCTACAACTTCACTACGAGGCAGGCATGTATTTTTTTGACTTGTATAGCACCGTCAAGTACAGTTTCTTTATTTTAAAACTACAGTGAAGAATAAAAAAGTAGTCAATGGTAAAATATCATTCAACTGAAAATCTCTAAACAAACAAAAATAAAGTTAAACTACCCTCTCTTCTCACCCATGATTTATAATGTTATAAGTACTGTACATTTTTTGTAATAATATTATTAAAATGCCTGATATTTAGTGGCACAAGTAAAAAAATTAAAATAAATTAAGAAGCAGAGGCCAATCACCGGACATAAAGCTTCAGACATGGTCAATGACTAACACTGGTTTTTCTCGTGCGCCACCGTGGACATCAGCGCTTGGACACACACAGAAGCAAAATGAAGTCTCGCTCCAGCTCTGCTCCCGGCGCTCCGGGGTTCATTTTGCCGGCATCTTCTCTGCCATGTGCTTCTGCTGACTTTCGGCGTGTCTGGGGCGGGGGGAGAGGAAAGAAGCCGCGTTATTTGCTGTGCCGAGGGGAGGAGGAAACCCGAACCGCGCGCGGGGCCGCGCTCCCAGCCAGCATCCGCGCCGCTCTGGCAGCGAACCAAAAATCACGTTTTTCCCGAGGGAAAAAAAAAAACCAAGCACCGAGCGAAGTTACGTGCGGTCTCTGCCCGGGCTCCTTCCCGGCGGGAGGGGACGGGGAGGGAAACCCTTCTCCGGAGGGGTTTTGGGTCAGCTGGGATCGTTTTCTCCCCTCCTGCGGGGATGGCCGGCGCGTTCACCCCCAGACAACGGCGGGACGGGGAGCGCCGGTGTGTCCCCCCCC